AAAAAGCATGTTATTATTTGAGACATAATGAAAACAACTGGTGGCATATGTCTATGTTGCATTTCTTTATCATGAACATGGAATATAAAAGAAGTTTGCACCTAATYAGGCATTTCAGTGGTCACCAGCTCCAGAATGGCTGAGCACAGCATTCACCTACAGAGTTACGCTGTGTATTATTAGAAAAAAAAAGAGAAAAGAGAAAAAAAAAATAAAGACTGTGTGTGAACAAATATGAGCCATTGTCTGGGAATGTCTGTAAGAAGAGCAGAATACAGACAGATTAAGGCAGGAAATTTGGATTTCTTTACAACTTCCTTGGAGAGGCCTCCCCTGTGTTCTAAATTAATCAGTGATATGTTGAGCATGTTAATTTAATTTAGTATTATATCACTATTGGTAGAGGTAAAATAATGATGCACTAAATTCAAACTGAACTATAATGGAAATCCTATAATCATTATACATTTATTAAAACCAAGTGAGTTCATTATACCACTAAAATAAATCCAAAATAAATTCTTGAAACAATTGTTAAACTGCTATTTTAAAGTGTCATTGGTTGAGTCATTCTCTGTAACTTGAGGCTGCCCTTGATCTTATTCCAGAAACATCCAATCCTTTTCCCTCTCCAGAAGAACMGTGCCAACACAACACTTCAACAGAAAGAAATGAGTGTCCTCCCTTTTCAAAACAGAAGCATATTTTATATATTAAGTGACGAGTTACTCTTTGCTGTTGGAATCGTGGAATCATATTCCTATTTCCTCTCAAAATTCTCAGACCTATATATATATATATATCTCTATGTAAGTCTGAGTCATATATAATATATAGACATACATATTTATTACCCATTGTGTGTAGGAGAAAAGTCGTCTGCAGACATGGAAGAATGAAAGTTTCAAGGACATACTAACCACCGATAACATACACATGGGAGACATTTAAGTTTCAAAAGTTACTACTAACAAAGATCTAAAGAATTATTTTGTGTATGCATATCRTTTTAAAGGAGATCTGTTGTTGTCTCTTTGGAAGGACATTCATATTTCTAAATGAGGAAGTTTTACTGTAGCGTCATTCATGTAAACAGCCCTACCATGTGAAATTTTTTTTCTATCACGTTTCGTTTCATTCCTCAACTATATTAAGAGCTTAAAATATTGATCAATATTATCTTCTCCTTTTTACAGAGAAGGAGACAGGCAAAATTGTGAAATAGAGTGAGGGAGATGAAAGAAAACCCCTTCCTGTTCACAATTTTATTCTAGTCAGGCTTACACTTCTTACATATAAGCTCCTGACATATCTGACATTTAATTGGTCAATTCTTCACTTTGATATGCAGAAGAAATAGTTATTATAAAGAATTTTGTTTAAAGATATACGTTGCAAATGCCAGTTGCTATTTAAAAAGTTCTTTTTGGCTAAATCAAAGCGTTTTCACTGGCATGCTGAAATGCACCTCTAAACAGCAGGTCTCTCTGTCAGATTTCAGCTTTCTAGCTTCAGAAACATCTCTGCTATGTCTGTTTGCAAAAAGTGGCAGTGAAATATATAATGAGGAAAGTCTTTTGTTCAACAACTTTAATTTCATTCAATCTGTACTGTCTAAATTTCCTCTTTTCCGCTCTGGAAAATTGTCCTTGAACAGATACCAGCTCTTGGTATTTGGAAAGGAGATAGAGGAAAATTATGCAATGAAAACTTTCCCAGAAGTAAGTCCATCTAAAATATCTGAGTATCAATCTGCAATATCCATGGTGCCTTCTTTTGCAAAATCAGGAAAGTATTATGGCCACCTTTTCTTCTCATCCAGGCTAAAAGACAGCGCTGACTTCTTAGAAGCATTTMAACTCATTCACATATAGTCATGAAAAGCTCTTAGTGCCTTACCAATTGTCTTCTCAGTGCACACAGCTTCTCTGCCTCCCCAAAGATGATGAGACCTTGCCATGCATGGAAGACTGGGAGCATATAGCAGGATGTCTATGGCTGTACCTAAACCAGTGAATGTGGGCCCTATCTATAGATCCAGATGAATGATGTGKTCCATAGCAGAGTGATCTGATGAAGACCAGCTACAGACAGAGGTGATGCTTCTGGAAGATGCTGTGTTGCTTCTTAGAAATGGGAATTAGAAGGAGAAAGAGGGTTAGAGGAACCTGGAGAGCTGCACTGAGCGCAAACTCTGGTGCAGTATCTGTTGTTGGACTATATTAGCCTGAAAGACTCAAAGTCTGCTGTGGTAAGCATAGAAACTCTTCCATATGTTGAAGTGTTACTACAACTCTCATTTTCTTCTTCAAGGCACATCATAATTGAGGTTAATATTACGACATTTGTTTGTTTTGCTTTGMTTTGCTTTATTTTAAGCGATAGCTAAAACTTTTAATAAGACTAGTCAGTGTACTTCATTATTTGAATCACCTGACCTATTTTACCCAAAAATATTTTGAAATATGATAAAAATTACAATTTATTTGGTTTTCTGCTGCCAACTGATTCCAGTTAAGAATGGCTACTTAAATTCCACTGATAGCAAAAAGTAACTTGAAGACTGCTATTAGCTGTCTCTGCTAGATGGATATCAGTTGCTAATCAGAGTTTAATATATTATATAAAATAATGCTTTTAGATGATCAGACTATCAACCTACTTGATGTAGTTAACTTTTATCTGTCTTATTTTTTTTTTTAATAATATCTCTATCATTTTCCCATTTTATGTATACTGGTTATTTTGGGAGCATTTGTCATTTGCATGTATTGAGCTTTGTCATAGCCACATGGACAAAATGAAACTTCCTTATATAGCAATCGAACATTTATGTAAAGATTTGGGAGCTAATAAAGRTATTTATGATTATAACTGTGCATATGTGTGTATGTGCAAATAAATATACATAATTCAGCCAAGGAAARGTACATTCTCAATACTAACATCATCATCTGTACCATCTTTATGCTCTGAGGGAGGAAGGTGGAGGGTTCCTCCTCAGAATCACCAGTGAAACCTCTCCTAGTTGCCTTGCTATGGTGAGGAGGAATCAATCACCTTGTAACAGTGCTCACGACTGTCCCTTGACTATACATGTGGCTGGAACAACATAGACTAGAACCCTAACTAGTAGAGCCTTACAGTAACTGATATGAATCCTGAGATGAACTGTTTAGAAATTCCTACTTTTTTTTTTCATTTAATTGTAAAATTTCCGCAGTGAGAGCACAAAATAATCATTGTCTTCCTCTGAACTAATGATTTGCAAAATGTTAGCTTAATGTATTTTCTTTAGGTCTTCATCATTTCAAACTGTTGCTTTAATTTGTGTATTGAATCATTTCATAAGATATCACTTATGCTTTATTCTTTCTYGTGCTTATTTTTTCTGACAGTCTATATTTTTCTAACTCTTTTCATAAGTTTTATGTCTTTCATAACAGCTTTTATTCTCTTGATATTTCCACTGATGCTTAGGAGGAAAGTTTTATCTGATGATTACATGATCCTCAGGTTGATTCCTTTTTATTGGTACCAACACTTTAAGTTCAGCACATATTGTTCTTCTCTGTATTCCTTGCCAAAATGTCTTTTAAAWCCTCAGTGGAGATTGTAGATAGGGTTTGAGCCTTACCAAGGATTGCTTTGTTTCTTCTTCGATTAAAGATTATGATAAACTCTTCCTAAATTCAAAGGAGCAGAATTAGGATGGTGCTGAAGGCTTTTGAATATATCATTCTATGGAATACTTCAAGAAACATTCTTTTTTTCCCCAAAATATTTCAGAGAAGGWACCATTCAAAAATCTCTGGTCCTCTGAGTATCCTGTGAAGCTGCAGTGAACTTAGACATCACTTCTTTATTCTCTTACTGAGAGAGAGAGGGAAGGAGAAAAAGGAGAGAGGGARAGGCAGAGAGAGGAAAAGAGAGATGAGAGAGAAAGGAAGGGAGGGAGTGTGTCCCCTGGCTATACAAAAGGAGTACGGAAACTRGGTTATCAGTGTGTATGAACTGCCTTGACAGCTGTTTTACCTCCTGGAAAAGTAAAATTGCACCAGATATCAATTTCAAAGTCCTATATCCAATTTTGTATTGCTTCTCATCCAAGGTGCTTTAGCAGTAGCATTGTAGCATTGGTAGTGTTGTTTGAATCATAAAATAAGTGGRTAAATAAATAAATAAATAAATAAAGAGTTGCAAATATTTCCAGCAGAACTGTAAAATAGTTCTTCTACTGAGGATAGAAGATGTGGGATGAAGAAAAACAGAATATCTAAGCCATTTCTTCACCACAGGAAAAAAGAAAGAAAACATATCTTATAAGTATTTAAACTAGGTCTTCTATYGTCACAGTTTTAAGTTAGATTCATGAATTAAGCAAGTTTATGTCAATTTGTGGATTTGACCATTTGATTTAATATTACATGTCTRTGGAATTAAAGTAGCATTAGTGCTTTTCTCATGTCATTGTGGATGTTAGCAGTTATGGTTTGAAGCTAAGTAATATATGAGAAAACATTCGAAATTAGGATTTTTGTATTTTTAAAATGATCTGACTTCAAGAGAAAAAATCAATACTCTTGGAAAATGTTATTCTTTTTTTTTTTGAGAAAACCAATTTCCTTTGAAATAGCACAAAATGAAATAAATTATAATTCTACAGTAGGTGATTGATATTGTGTTGGGTTGGGGTTGTTTTTATAGTTTTACTGTAGTAGAAAATATGTATATAACTACCAGTAAAGATTCCAACTCAAAATTAGTGAGTTATGAATGGAACCTCATAGATATTCTGAAGCTTTCTAGCAGTTGATAGAATAGTTGACTATGGCTTATTAGTGAATGAATGGTTTAACGTAAGCTTAGTTTATTTTTATTTATTTTTTTATTTATCTACTTTATTTTTGCAATGCTTTATAAATATTCTTTTAGAATTTTTTGATTTAAGAGATCTTTTTACAACACCCTTATTGTTTGTGTTGATTTTCTTGTTGCAGAGCTAGTAAAAGCAGGTGAAATAAGTTCATTCATAGGATTTATTAGTTCTGGATTCTGCAATATTTACAGAGAAGTCAAAGCACTTGTGGAGTTGCCACAAAGGAAAAGGGTAAGTTCAATAGAGCTTTTTTAAAAAAATCAGCATTATCAGCATTTTACTTTTTTTTTTTTTTTTTTTTTTTCTGTTCTGGTCAGGAGTTTCCTGGTAAGTTTACCCAGAGATAAAACCTTTATCCAAAAACAGGAAAAAAAAAAATATTCTTCATGAAATTGTGAGATGACATAGATTGGAATAATAATTAGTGATGCAGAGTATAAAACAATAATATACATGGGTATGGGTTGTGAGTTAAGTTTTTATAATTTAGAATCCCCAAAAGAATGTTTCTACTGTGAAGTGCATAGCTTGCGTACATGAAATGGAGAGCATATTCTGGAAAATAACAGCTGTGGATCTGAGAATCATGGTCAACCAGCTATATATGTTCCTTGGAATGATTACCAGGTGTAATCTGATTTTTTTATGCTCCCACCCAGAAGTGACCTGTTTGCACAGTCTGCATGTGGACAACCCTAACATTTCTTTCTTATGCTCAGAGCAATATGTTGAGCTATTGAGGCTATTTATTTCGTTCAAAAAAATTAAATCATTTGATCAATTAAATACTCGCAATAGAGAAGAGTTTTGAAGTTGTAGATAAGCTGTGAGATGAAGTGTCATTAAGAACAGACTCTATTTGAAAGTTAAAATTGCAAAAATGGAGACATAAAGCTTGTTTTTTTAATGATGAGGGCAATTAAATTTTGGAGAAATTAACTCATAAAGTTGATGAAGTTCTTTCTATTTGTAAACTTTATATCAAGACTGTATGTGTTTTATAAGAGATGTACCAAGTACAAGTTTTGGGCTTGATGTAGGAGGGTCCATAATCCTTACTTAATCAGGATTTGCTGGTTCTTGTCTCCAGTGTTTGAAAACCTAAGCCTGGTATTTACTACGAAGGTGATATTTACAAGAGAAATACGGTCTGTGTGAAAAGCCACAGGCCTGTGTTGGCACCCACAGCACTTCTCATTCAACATTAAGGCTAGGAAAATAAGCAGTGGCAATTCTTCAAAATAGAGGCTCAGTTACATGTCTGGACACAATATGGAGGTGGGAAAGCATGGCAGACAGAACAGCTAACTATTGTTTCCTTCGTGGTGGTGAGGCCACTGGAGAGAAGCACCCAATGAACATACAGACTACCTCACAGAGAGGATTAAGAACTGAGCTGAGGAGGAGGAGGCATAATCTCCAATGAATCACCTCATCTGGGAACGCTCACACACAGAATTAGAAAATCACTGAATGGTTGAGGTTGGAAGGGACCTCTAGAGATTATCTAGTCCAACCCCCCAGCTCGAGCAGGGACACCCAGAGCACAGGGCACAGGGTGGCATCCAGGAGGATTTTGAAGACCTCCAGAGAAGGAGACTCCACAACCTCCCTGGGCAGCCTGTTCCAGGGCTCTGTCACTCTCACTGTAAAGAAGTTCTTAARTTCACTTAAGAAGTTCACTCAGCAATGAGCGCCGGGGTGGGCAGCAAGAGCAGGTTGTTTATCAAGAGTTAGGATAAGTTTATAGAGGCCATTGTTGCAGCTAACCAAATGTCAGCATTTCATAAAAAAATTGGTTCTATCTAGGAACAAAATAATAAAGATGCATGAAAAGAAAAGGGTAGAAAAGGACAGAAAAATAAAATTCACTATAAATTATTTTGAAAAAAATGCAAATCTTATTAATTTAAATATCTGACTGTCCTTGCAGTCTTTCCTATTTTGGAAAAATTATTGCTGATCGTGAGACATCAGTGCAAAACGAATGGTATAAAGTCCAAAGGCATTTGGTCTTTGAAGCAATATAGGGGTCCCTACATAGTCTGCATATGTGCATGTCTGAAAGCATTCCAAAGGGTAGATCACACATGAGTTTTTTCCTGCTGTGCCTTCTTCCTGCTGAGTCAATCAGTATGGATTATCCAGAGCCAGCTTTTGGAATGCCCTAGTTGTTAAGCAAAGTCGACAGCAGGCAAATTTGATTTCCAGCTAAGCCTAAAGCATACTTCTGCTCTATAGTTTAGATATGGCCTTTAAGTTTTCCAGTGCTCTGTGAAATGCCTAGGTCAGATTTTATAACATTAATTGAGGAATAATAAAGGCACTTAGCTCATAGATAAAGCCACAGAAAATCTCTCAGCTGCCATGTTGTCTTCTGCGCCATTTCAGATACCTGTTTCCTAATAAGCTTTTCTTGCTTTTCTGTTCCCATTCTTACAATTGATGTTTTAGGACAGAGCATGGAGGAAATAATCAGTGAAGGAAGATGGGCACAAAGGACTGCAATACTCCACTTTGTTAAAAAAAAAAAAAAAATTCTAAAAGTCACACTGTACTAATCTCTTATACATGCAGAGGGAGGAGATATGTTTTTAATAAGCTGATTTCTGTCATCTGAGTTCATTATATTGGACACCACATTTAATGTGGTGCATGCAAATATTGCCAGCCACTGTAAATAAATTTAGATTTCTTTATTCTCCCTCAGAGCACAGTAGCAATATTCCACAGTTCTCAGAAGGCCATATTGCATAATCTTTTCTCATAGTCATTAATTTTATGACTTTAATAATTTTCATAGGACTTATCATCAAGAAAAGGARTACTTAAATAGGAAAATGTATAAATCTGTATTAAAACCAGAACTATCAAGATTTAATGCATGGCTGGTGCTATTTTTTAAGTTCATCAAATTAAATTTCCAGGAAAAAAAAAGGCAATGGATTACTTCTACTTATACTTTAAATATGGAAGGAAATTACTGTTTGAATTTTCTCAGGCACGAAAACAAAAATTCATGACCCAGTTTCTCATAGAACAGAAGCATTGGGTATGTACAGTCACCCAAAGTAAAATGACTGAAATTTCCAGGGTATATATTTTTTTCTGTGTGTATGTATGTGTACGTCACTCTATATACATGTCTATAAAAGCTAGTATCCATTTATTATGTTAAGTAGAATGTATAGAATTCTAAACAAAGAAATCTCTGTTTCTCAATCAGGTTAGAAGAAACAAAAAGGTTTGTATGGGACAGCTGCACAGGAATGACTCATTTGGGGAAGTGAGCATCCTCCTGCAGGTTCCTTTTACCTGCACCATCGTCACTGCAACAGCTGTCAAACTGGGCATCATCGATGCTGCTGCTGTGCTAGGTAAGCAGGAATGTTCTGTTTCTTGACAGAGAAGCTCCAAAGATGTATAGTTCAGTCCAGATAGCCCACTTTAACCAGAAAATTTGACCTGTTCCTTCCTTCTCCCAAAGTTTTGAAAAATGGCATGTCTTCTCTTGTATGCTGTGTACTGTTTTTCTTGCTGGATTTCCTACCTTTGACATATCAATTCTGGCTTCTTATTTTTCTAAGTGTTAAACCAGAGCATTGTCTAACTGGAATGGAGAAAATAGGAAGTTCAGATTTGTTTGTTTGAAGTGCTGCAATGAGACTGCAAAGCAGCAGTGGATGAGAAATAAACCAGTGATTAAAAAGCTGTGTAGGATTCATCTTGCAAGCTTTTTCTGTGTCAATTAGTTTTATGTGGACTTTTTGTACCTAACATGATGTTAACAAGTCACAGTGATGTTAGTCAACCCAAGCCCATATATCACTGAAACTTTGGAAGCTTTCAGATAGAGGTTTACATGAGGATAGACCTGGGATAAAGGGACAATTTTCTCATCTCCTACCCATATTTTATTACTAGCTAACACAGTACATGAGAAAGAGATTATGCTRGAGTTGCTGAAATTCCTCTGTCCATCTACTCTTGATTTTAATAGAAGGTGCATTGTGCTCTTTTTTTTGTAATGCCACTTGACACATGGTTAATGGTAATCACAGAATAAGTATAACAATATATATATTTTTTTAATCCTGCATTTCTGTTCACAGTAAATAAAAACTTTAATTTATTTTATGATTTTTGATGTTATTCTTATCCTCTGGTGTGATAATCTTATCACTGGATAATAACAATACTGCTACTTTATGAAAAGCTGATAAATGTCCTAATAAAATTATTGCAGTCTATAGAATGTCTTCTGCACCATATAATAGATTTAAACACTAAAGAAGTCTTGATGAAGATTTTAAACCTGTTCAGATTTCAAAATTTGAATCATGTTAAACTCATATGAGATTATTTTCTATAAAGATTATAGAGAATCTAAAGATCATAAATTGCATGCTTAAAAGCATAGTCTGTAGCAGGGAATAATTCTTGAACTCTATGTTTTGTTACAACATTTATATCTATATATATTCTCTCAATTTTGTGAATTAGGTTATGTGATTATTGTGGTCTTTTTCACTGGTTCTTCTAGATGGATGCCTCAACATTAAAGCAAACCAAGAGTAACTTTCACCTGTATAGTAAAAACCTGAGCAGACTCTATTGAGTAAAATTTTTTTGCCCCTGWAATATGTTGGTGTTTTTCATAGTTGAGTAATCAGGACATTAAGAGTACTGATTTTACATTACTTATTCTATATTGTGTAATTAATTAACATGTTTCCTGTTTGTTACRTATTTGTAAATTGTAAAGATCCAACTCTCTAGAGTTGAATCTGTATATCTTATTTTATTTAAAATTTAAGTTCAAATCTTTCCTTTGGACATGMCTAGAGATCTATTCATGCCTCCAGTTCTATTAGGAATGATGYATATAGTCATGAAATTTTACTGTGAGGAATACTATTTTTTCCCCCAACTTTTTTCAATCACTATCTCTTTCACAGATTTGAATTAACTATTACCATTTATAGCAAAGTGCACTTGTGATCTTCTTTTGAAGTGACATTTGCAATGGACTATTGATTATTACTCTCCATTTTCTGAGCCTGAATAGAAAAATGAGCAGTGAAATGCCCTCTATCTCTGTATACTGCTTCCAATTTGGCATTCTTTCCCTGTCAGTTGTACAAATGTTGGGTTGGGCTCTGTGAAGGCTCAAGGAGAATATGTCCTAAGAAAAGTATTATTCTTTTCTACTCACTGTATCTAGTCATTATTCTCTTTCTAAGCTGAGATTTCATATTATCTCTCTCACTTATGTTCACCTTTGTAGCTGTCTCTTCATTTACGTTTTGTGCCTGCAGCTCATCCGCAACATGTTAAATGTGTTGTATGTAAAATGAACATAGTAGGAAATTTTTAGCTTAKTTACTTAAGAAAGCAAATGTGTATTTTTTCTTCTCAATAGTCTTTTTATTCAGATGAACAATTTCAATTAAATTTGAGAGGTCTCAATATAAGATAATTAGATTCCCAGAAGTTGTGTAAAAATCATCCGCTTCTTAGATGAGAAAGAGTGAATGAAAGGTAGAAGGAATCAGTTTGGGGTAGATTGCGTTTGACTGCACATATCCAGTCTGTTGGTGGCTTACACACTCTCTGGTGACTCGATGCACATTGAACTCTGCCCTCCTAGAAGCACAGAYGGACCAAGAAGCCCTCATGTACAGCTTATAAGGAATAAAAAGGGTAATTAAGGAACAAAATCTGCAAGACATTTGCTTATTTCTATTCCTCAAAAGAGTAACTTTCCTTTGTATGTGGTTCACTGATATTTCCGTAGACTTTTAGTCATAATTATTTGCCCTTCCTTGAATAGTTTACCTGGGAAGTTTTACATTGACAGTTGTATAACACCCATGCTATGCTGTTGCTAACTCCTGCAGGTAAACTGTGAACAACACAGGGACTGGCTCAACAGTATATTCCCCCCAAAGAATTGGCATTTGTGATTGGAATTGTTACTACATGCTCTTCCCTAAAAGTGTCACTGGAGGTCCTGTCGTCCAGATGCTGTCAAGATCTTGGCTGGCTATAGTTGTTACTGATCCCAGAATTTCTTTTCTGTAAGGATAAAGTTGTTAATCTGGGTGTGTGGGCCACATGTCAAACTAACTCACTCATTCTGGATGACTAATTTACTGTTGTAAAATCAGTTGGAAATACATTTTTGTCTCCTATTCTGTGGTAATAAACTCTTTGCACTTTGAAGGTCAAAATTTTCTTTCTGTGGAATTAGAAAAACACACTTCAATATTTTATTTGTTCCACAAGTTTTGAGTTAAGATATTGCATCAACATGGTAAGAACTTCAATATAATTTTTAAGTACCTATACTTAATGTTATGGACTAGGATGCAAAACATACGTGAAACCACAACATAGAAAAAAGAAAATTTTTTTGGTTTACGAGGGCACAGAGGGCACCCTGAGCAAGTTTGTGGATGATACCAAGCTGGGTACACTCCAAAGGGCTGTGCTGCCATTCAGGGGRACCTGGACAGGCTGGTGAGTTGGGCAGAGAGGAACCTCATGAGATTCCAGAAGGACATGTGCAGGGTCCTGCACCTGAGGAGGAATAACCCCAGGCATCAGTACAGATTAGGGGAGGGCAGCTCCATGGAGAGGGACCTGGGAGCCCTGGTTGACACCAAGTTAGCCATGAGTCAGCAGTGTGCCCTCATGGCCAAGAAGGCCAATGGGATCCTGGCCTGCATCAGGAGGAGTGTCAAGGGAGGTGATTCTGCCCCTGTATTCAACTCTGGTGACGCTGCGCCTGGAGTCTTGCGTGCACTTCTGGGTTCCTAAGTATAAGAGGGACGTGGAGCTTCTAGAGAGGGTCCAGCAGAAGGCAACCAAGATGATTAAGGGACTGGAGCATCTCTCGTATGAGGAGAGACTGCGTGAGTTGGGCCTGTTTTCTCTGGAGAAGAGAAGGCTGAGAGGGGATATGATTAACATGAATAGTCCATGTATATGTATTAAAATGTGTCAACATGAAGGGGGAGGAACGGGCCAAGCTCTTCTCAGCGGTGGTCAGTAATAGGACAAAGGGTAATGGGTGTAAGTTGCAACACAGGAGGTTCCATCTCTATGTGATGAGGAACTTCTTTCCTGTGAGGGTGACAGAGCAGTGGAACAGGCTGCCCAGGGAGGCTGTGGAATCTCCTTCTCTGGAGGTCTTCAAACCCTGCTTGGATGCCACCCTGTGCCCTATAATCTGGGTGTCCCTGCCAGAKCAGGAAGGTTGGAACAGATGATCTCTAGAGGTCCCTTCCAACCTTTACCATTCTGTGATTCTGTGGATTTTACAAAACTTCTGTTATCTAGATATAGAAAATCTTTGACAAAAGTCTTTCTTGCCTGTGTCTCCCCTCTCCAACAAAAAGAGAGTTTTATTTTCTGTTTATTGCTTTTCCCATTACTGACGAGAATACAGCACAAATAACAATAAAAAAAAAAAGCTTGAAAGAATTTTCTTACATTTTCTTGTAACATTTCAGGACGACTTTTATGCATTTTTTTCCTAATGTGTAAAATTTCCGAAAATCATTAACATCAGGCCACGTTTTATCTGGAACAAGTTTAATTTTCCTCAAAATTTACTAGATTTTCAATAAAAGTGGTATGTTTTTGAGATACAGAAAATAGCTAATCTGGTTCAGAGATTTTTATGTATTCTCTGTTCACTAAAATTTGTGTTGCATTGTGGAAACAATACAATAGCAGGAAAGGATTTTTATTATCTCAGTTGTTTGTCCAGAAGTGTAAAAGTGTGTAAAGAGTAGTGTAAAAATGTGTAAAAAGTGTGTAAAAAGTAAGCGTGAAAAAAAAATGCCTGTGACTCTTTTAACACAGCTTGCCACACTACTACSACACAACTGCAATGTGGCAGGTGACCACAAGAGCATTTTTACTTGTATGTGATAAGCACTAGAACATTCTTTTGGGTGTGTGTGATTGGTGAACTTGATTACCTTAAATAAAAGATCATATCTTGTCTTTTTTAATTTTGAAGCTAAGGGACAAAATGGTTAGCCACAAGTTTGTATTACTATAGTCTCTTTGCCTTCAATATGTTTTCGTATTTTAAATTCAACATTTAATATGCTTTATTATAACAATCACTTAAAAGCAGCTCTTTCATGAAATAACATATCAATGATTTGCAAATAAACTGCACAAGTTTTGTCTTTAATTATTTATTTATATTTGGCCATTTCTTTTGCTAACCTGATTAATCTTCAAATGCATAAATACTTGTGATTAGAAAGTCAAAAATTTCTTCCATATGAACAGGCATAATCATGTTATTCTGTATTACATTAATAAAGATTATATTATGCTGTGGAAAGAAAGGTTATATTTAAGCTTTTCATTAACTTGTGATTTCACACAGCCCAGTTTGATGTCATACTCTTCGAATGTCATGAGAACATAGTGCTACATCTGTGTAAATAATGTTGAATTAAAATGGCTACTGTCTAAAGCTACTGTCTAAAATGACAACATGGGAAGCCAAAAGTCCCTCTACACAAAACAGTGCCACTTGCAATCAAAAGGAGAGTATTTTCCTCTGGTGCTGCAGCAGAAAAGTTCTGTTTGGACMCTTTTTTTTTTTTTTTTYCCCATAAAGATGTGCATATCCCATAGTATTTGGAAATGGATTAGAAACATGGTTCAGTTCCTTTATACTTAACTTTTATTATACTATGGAGCACAAGGGATGCTATTCGGAGTACATACYACTAAGCTGGATATGTTCCTTGGCAACATCTCCCTGTCCCTCAGAGCTGTTCCTGAGGCATTGCAACTCTGAATTTACACAGCTTTGGATCATGCCTGCATGGTATGGAATCTATTGCAGATGTATACTGATATGGATGTCGGCTCTCTGGCTGACAAACACACCAAAACAGAGTTGTAGTCTGTAAAACTAACTTTTCTTAGATAAGAACAAATTTAAATCTGATCAGTGCCTTATCACAATGAAGACCTAATTACTGCGTAGCTCAGTTCTTTGTCTCCTTTGAGACTGGCCGTAGAATGTTAACATGCTCAGACCTCATTCTACAGGAACCTTTTCTCCATTGTTCCTTGCAAACAAGGCCACGTCTGTAACGSATTTTCTTTGAAAGAGTAATAAAAAAGGCTTTCTCATTTTTCTGTATTTTCTGTATTTCTTTCAGAACTTATTAGATGATATAATTTCTACCTTGCATAGAAATTTTAGCCAAATATTTTGCTTTATCTGCTTAAGAGTTGTCTGTAGTTTCCAACTCTAAACTATTGCAGCCCTTTCTATCATATTTTCAGTAGGAGACAGAGGGAAAAATCTTGTCATCATTAAATTAGTATCTTCTAGGTAATTTATAGCAGAACAACTTTTAGGTATTTTTTTCCACCAGTCAGTGTTCTTCATCAGACTAATGATAGATTTTTTTTTTCTGTGACCTTGAAATTTCCTGGACTTTATGTACACACTTTATGTACACACTCACTACACAGAAGAATCTAAAACTTCAATATTGAACTTCCTGAACCACCAGGTTGCTTGTGTAACT